CTTTCCCTTTTCTCTGTTAAGTTTGCCAGGTGCCAAAAGACTTTGGAATATAAGTGGGCACACTCTTTATCGTTGGGAATTTTTCAGACTTGGTGCTGAAGTAAGAAGACAGGAATATAGTAGAAAGCCTGGACTGTGGATTTAGGCCTGGACAGGAATCCTCTTTAATAGCCATGTGACCAGAAGCATACTTAATCTTTCTCCTCAGCTTTTCCATCTCTGAAACAGGGATCATAATATCTACTCTGCAGGTCTGTATGAGGATTAAAGGAGATCACATATATAAAACTGTTGACACTGTGCTTGGCATAAAGAAGGTGCCAGTTTTCTTCCAGTTACTCTTGCAGTTTGGAGGTGCTGTAACCAGAGCAGCTGAGTATTCAAACCTGTATCACTAAGCTTTGTGTGAGGGAAGAAAGGGAAGGTTATAGGAGGAGAATTTCCATTTCCTGCTTCCTTTCCGTAAACTTTTGGAACACAACCATGATCCCACAAAACTTGTATCATTTCATGCTTTTGACACAGGGGTACAGAGATCCATGCAACAGATGCAGATAATGTAGCAATTAAAGAGTGCTGGCTCTGGAAACAGCCTGTCTGGGTTTGAATCTTACTAGACTTGGACACAGATTGATGAATGAGAGAAAACCTCATCTGGTCTGGCTCCCCACCCCAGAAACAACCATGGCCTGGGCCTGGTAGCAGCTGAGACTGCAGATCTGGAGTTTGCCAGCAGGTGGCACCAGAAGCAACTTCTCAGTGTCCACTGTCCTGAGGAAGTGGGATTTCAGCTCTGAATTCAGTTGTTCAGTGATTTGGGCCCTTGCAGCACAGGAAGAGAGTGCCCTTGGGGACGTGAACCTGGTAGGAAGGGAAAGCTGGACTGAGGTAACAGCACGTGAAAGTGCATGGAGTGCCCAATCCATGCCATACCCCTGGATAATGGTCACTGCTTCTTCTCCTGAAGGTGGGATGTTTCCCCATGTCCATCTCCCCAGTCTCTACCGTGCCCCAAGAAAGAGCCCAGAGGGAGAATCTGTAGAGGTTCCAGCCTTCCCAGGCCACTAGGAGTATTGGCCTCTGCTCCTCCCCCGCGGAAACCCCCACCACAGGACAAGGGGGGGTAAGTCAGAAGCCCTGCAAGGGTGTCCTATCAGTCTCCCTCTCTGCTGTGTGTGGGGCCTGAGCCTGGCTTCAGCCCTGCTGGCTACCAGATTGGCAGTTGTTTCTCTAGAGAGAGGCAGGAGTTGGTCTGGCTTTAGTGTGTGACAAGCATGCCCTGAATGCTTGAACCCTTCCTTTAACTCACTTAGCAAGCCCTCTGCTGTATGATTTGTGCTAGAGCCACAGCTGTGAATCTGATTACCTGTGAAGAAGACAAGCACGGACACAGGTGATTACAAAACTCTTAAGTGCTTCAAAAAGGGCAGTACCAGATACCATAGGAACACAAAGGAGGGAGGGAGTATGTATCTCCGTTTGTGTGCATGTGGGGGTGGGGTGTGGCAGTGCTAGCCATGACATTGGCGTTTGGCCTTGAAGGATCAATGGGGTGCTTCCAGGCAGATAAAATAAGGAAAGGCATTTTAGGCAGAAGCAGTGGACTGTGTGAGGGCTAGAGCAGGAAGGAATATGGTGAGTGGAGAAACTCTGAGTTGCCCAATGTGTAGCACTGGGTGAGTAGAGGGAGCAACTGGAGATAGGGCCAGGTCACAGAGGGGTTTGACTGTCAGGCCAAGGAATTTGGCCATTATCTTATAAACAGGAGGATCATCCGTGAGATTGAAGGGGTCTGAGCAGGGCAAGGACCAGATGAGACTTGGGCTAAAAGACAGGCAGTGGGTGAGGAAGGATCAAAGGGCACTTAGGAGGTAGAATCTATATGACCTGGTAGCTAATTGGTGACTCTCACAGGTTATAAAGTAGATTGCTTTGCTGATTATTCTAGAATAGAGGAAGCTTCCATTTTCTTGGATTCCTTAGTTCCTCCTTCACTGCCCTCAGGAACTTCCAGAGAGAGGGGCAAAGAAACCAGGTGAATTCCACCCATTTCTTTGTATTTCATAACCTGAAAGGCAGTCTCTCCCAGCACTACCTCAAAGTCTAAGATATTCCGCTGTTTTTCCAGCTTCTGAAGTGAGCCTGGATGCTGTTCCCAGCCCTCATCTTTCCTTCCCTCTCTGTCTCTCATCCCTTGTCACATGGGCTGCCCTGGACTGAAGCTTTGACATGCATTCAGTGAACTGCCTTTGTTGGTTTGGGCCTCACATTGGTTTGGGGGCAGACCTAATCTTCTCAGAGTAAAGAGTGGTCTTTTCACTGGGGCTGACACAGGCACATGCCCCTGTTTGGGGAGCTTTCTGGTCTGAGAAACAGGATGAAGCCAAGCTTTCTGATGAGGGTGAACCTGCAGGGGAGCAGGTGGAAGGCAGTGGGTGGGGTCTCTAAGGCGGGCTTCTGCCATCAGCTCTGGACATGAGCCATTGTCTTGGTGAGGGGCAAGCGCAAAAGACAAGGAGTCTTGTCTCTGCCCTTCAGCAGCTCTTGGTCTGGCTGGGACTCAGGCACAGAAGGTAAGAGAGCATCGAGGAAGTGGGGCAGCTCTGAGACCTGGGAGTGTTTGGAGGGCCTCCTGGAGGTAGGGGGGCTCAGGCTGAGCCTAGGGCTCTAAGCAGAATTCTGATGCATGGTGGCAGCACGAACAAAAGCACTAAAGTTGCTTCTGCACTAATTCCCGGGCGCTTGGGGCAGACCAGCCACGTGCGCCTTACTTGTGGGAAGCCAGAGAAGGGGTCTGTCGCAGGACCTTGGCTCAGCCTTGCCCTTCTGACCTGCTTCCTGTTCTTGTCCCAGGTCCAGGCTGATCCCCAGCGGCCTCCCCCGGAAATGCTCCGTCTTCCACCTCTTTGTTGCCTGTCTCTTACTGGGCTTCCTCTCCCTGCTCTGGCTGCAGCTCAGCTGCTCTGGGGATGTGGCCCGGGCAGCCAGGGGACAAGGACAGGAGACCCTGGGCCCATCCCGGGCCTGCCCACCAGAGCCACCCCCTGAGCACTGGGAAGAAGATGAATCATGGGGCCCCCACCGCCTGGCAGTGCTGGTGCCCTTTCGAGAACGCTTCGAGGAGCTCCTGGTCTTTGTGCCCCACATGCACCGCTTCCTGAGCAGGAAGAAGATCCAGCACCACATCTATGTGCTCAACCAGGTGGATCATTTCAGGTAAGGACCACCTCCTGAGCCAGCACGCACTCACCTGGGCCTGCCCTGGTCTCTTGGGGCCTGCTCCCTTTCCTGACAGCAATCCAGTACCAGGTGGCCCAGGCCCATGAAAGGCCAGCCAGGGCAGCAGTGAGAGGGTGGGAGGTGCTTAGACCCCTCTCAGTGGGTGTGACAGGAATTTGGGGGGAGGGTTTGGGGCTGGGGAGGCCCCTGATCTGGTTTCCATTTCACAAAGGTCCCTGTGGCTGCTGTATGTGTCTGGGCCATACCAGGACAAGAGGGGAAGCAGGGAGACCTGTTGGGCAGTCATTGCAGTCACCTGAGCTGATGGGGGATTGGGCAGCATATGGCAGAAGGGGTGGAGAGAAGTGATGTGGAGGAAGCGCAGACAGGGCTTGCTGGTGGATTGGCTGCAGAGATTAGGGAGAGGGAGGGGCAAAGCCACGGCTTAACTTGTTCACAGTCTGGCATTATCCTAAAATCCTTGCCCTCACCAAAGACTGCCCTCCTCCATGATCATAATCCAAGCATCTCACACTCCACCCCCACCTCCTTTCCCTCCAGCTCGCTCCCACTGGGAGACATGGACCCAAAAATTCTTGGACCCTGCCAGGCCCTTTAGTCCACGATCCTCCCAGTGTTCTCCATCCTCCTTGTCCTTACTTTCTCCTGACCTAACTTGGATTCCATGGTCCTTGGTGAAAGTCACTCCCTCACATGCACCTCAACTCCCTTCCACTTTCTCCCTGGCACAACTCCCACCAGATGAAACTCGAGTCTGCCTGCTACACACCTGCACCTGGCAGCTGGATGTAGCTGGAGACACTGCTCATCTCCCTGACGATGAGCCCTGGCCCAGGAGGGCTCTCATTCCTCTGGTCTGCTGCCTCTCCCCTCCACGGCAGCCTTGCACACCTGCTCCTCTCCTCACTCCTCCCTATCTTCACCTTCAGCCAATTACTTTGCTTCCTATTTGAGAAAACAGAATCAATTGGAAGAGAACTAACCCAGGTCCCCACACCTGGACTCCTTTCACAGCTTCTGTGCAGGTGTCCTCAGTTTCCCACTGCCTTTCCCAAGGATGCCCCTCCAGGGCCAGCTCTCCTACTCGGGCACTGGGTCCCTTTTCTGCCCTTCTACTCAAGGACATCACTCCAGCCGTTGGCTCTCTTCTCTCCTGCATGATCAATTTTCCCCCCTCCTGGAGTATTCAGATCAACAAACATACTGAAATAGCCCCCATCTAAACAGAAAAAAGAGAACCCCACTTGATCCCCTATCACCCACATCTATTGCCTCTTTTCTTTGCTCCTCTTTCTAGCAAAACTCCTTCCCTTTCTCCCCCCTCGCTCTCTCTTGAACCTATTCCACTCAGACATTTACCCTCATCGTGACATTGAAACAGCTGTTGTTGACATCACCAATGAGCCCACCTTGATAATCCAAAGCCCAGTTCCCAACCTTCATCCTATCGACTTCCCGGCAGCATTTGCCAAGTGGATTACTTCTTCCATCTTAAAACACCTCAGTTTGACCTTTGGGACAGCGCTCTGCTTCTCTTTCCTCTCTGGCCACCTCTCCCCACCTCCTTTGCTGGTTCTGCCTCAACCCCCTGATCTCTCAGCCTTGGTGTTCCTTGGGCGTCAGTGCTTGGGTACCGTCTTTTCTGGCTCCAGTCGCTCCCCAGGGGATCTCATCTAGTCTCAAGACATCAAATCTCATTTATACCCTGATGACTCCCAAGTCTGTATTCCCAGCCCAGACCTCTCCCCTGAACTCCAGACCCATATATCCAGCCAGCTGCCTGTGCAGCCCTCTGTTTGGTGGTCTCAAGAGGCATCTCAAGCTTAACATGATTAAAACTGAATTCCTGGGCTTCCCAGGTGGCGCAGTGGTTGAGAGTCCGCCTGCCGATGCAGGGGAGGCGGG